CTGGAGGATTTATTATTATTATTATTATTATTATTATTATTATTATTATTATTATTATTATCATTATTATTACTGTTGTTTTGCTGTTGTTGCTGTCATTATTATTATTCTGTTTTTTCGCTTCCTTAGCATCCTTTAAAACAGAGTATGATAGAACGAGCGTAGCTTTGTACTAAATAATCTCATATTTATTAATTTATTTATGGAAAAGAAATTGATATAAAGTTTAGACAGCTTTTTTCCCCATCTTCAACGTAAGTGTAACCATTTCAGAGAGAATCTCTCTAGCATAACACGTTTCACTAAATTCGAAAGCGAGACAGAAATACCCAGCAACAGGCACCCAAGCGGCCTTAGAAAAACACTAGTTGGACTCTCGACGGCCGCCATTTTTAAATGTCCAGGTGGTAGTAGAGGACCGCGTGGCTGTAGAAAACGGGACGCGGTGTACCCTCAGTTTAAAGGAAATCGCCTGATTTTTGAAGTTCCTTTGAGTGATTATTTGATTTCTTAATTCACATAGACTACGCGGGGGGGTTTCTTTAGTGGAGAACAGTATAAAGCCTATTGCTAAGATGTAAAAGCAAACAGGGCGGTATCTTAGCAGGGCGTTTAAATACCCACGCGGTAGCGAGGAGACGGTATACAAAAGACCATCCCCGTCTAGCCTGGGGCGTCACAATGCCGTCTGGCAGCTGATAGAGGAACCTTCATGGCTACCCTCCACTGCTCTCACAACCTACACAATCGCCTCATAACCCAACAACAAGAAATACTCCACAAATAACACAAGTTTCATGATCTCTCGGTCGCGGGAGCCCTCGGGCTGTTTGTGTGTGAGAGAGAGTCTGTGTGTAGCTGGGAGAGCAAGGAACACCAGCCAGCTTCCAGTGCACCACGTGGTCTGTTCTGCACTCTCTTCTCTCTTTCCTCTCTTCTGCTTTCCTTTTTCTTCACTCTTTTTTCTCATCTCGCTTCTCTCATCAAACTTTTCCCCCCCTTTCCTATCTCCTCTTCCCTCTCTCTCTCTCTCTCTCTCTCTCTCTCTCTCTCTCTCTCTCTCTCTCTCTCTCTCTCTCTCTCTCTCTCTCTCTCTCTCTCTCTCTCTCTTTTTCTTTCTCTTTCCCTCTTTCTATCTCTCCCCATCATTTATTCTCTGTCAGTCTGTACACAGTCTGCAGTGGTACATTTAGTGCATGCGCGTGTCGTCGGATCGTCCGTGGCCGAACACGGGTTTTAACAGCCACGGTTCAACGAACGGGGAGAGGAAAGAGGAAGCCGATAAAAATAGGAGGTAGTTAACAATGGGCAGGTTGAGCTAATTAAGGGTTAACCGAAATGATTCCGGACGTTCAACCCTTTAAAGGCCAATGCAACAGTGGACGCGCGCCGGAAACACGGGAGAGGAAATGTCCGGATGAGAGATCATTTTCCGGAAACTACAACGCCACGCCAAGTAGTGATCCGGAGGCTGGCGGCGGCTTGGGGGGGGGTGATGCCTCGACGCCGGCCTCGCCTTTCTCTCTCTCTCTCTCTCTCTCTCTCTCTCTCTCTCTCTCTCTCTCTCTCTCTCTCTCTCTCTCTCTCTCTCTCTCTCTCTCTCTCTCTCGCTCTCTTGCTCTCTCGCTCTCTCTTTTTCTTCTCTTCGTGTTTCGTATTGCTGGTTTTAGTGTTGTTTCCCTTGTTTTCCTATAGAATCAACCCAGTCCTTTCCCAGCGTCCTATTAAATCAGTAATGTGAAAGGGCTGTAATTAGAATGAAACTTAAGTCGTTATAGCAGAGAAAAAGCAATAAGAGTCTAGCCACAGCATGCGAAACCGGGACGAACTCGGCACCACGTGTTAAAGGTCCCAGCGTAAGGTCTCTTCCCCGAGGATAGAGAAAACGGGAAATGAGTGTTGGACGTGAAGGGGGGGGGGGTTAGGAGGAGAGAGGCGAAGAGAGGGGGGGGGACGCTACTACACTTCGTCATATTCACCTTTTCCTGTATTGTGTCCTCATGCTGTCCATATTCGTCATGGGGAGCGAGGTCGTTACTATTTATAGATTTTCTTTGGTGTATGTTTGTATTTTTCTAGATCGCGTGTGCGTATAGATTTTTTAACATTTATGTTAATATGATATATAGAGAGAATTCTTACAGCATCTTATTTACATATGATATCTTCTTAGTGATACCTAGAAAGTTCTCCCAGTCAGGTGACTCACCAAATAGAGCGATAAAAACCCATAAATCTCCTCTGGCGCGGGGCCATTGGGCTCAAAATCCGCTCTGAAAGGCCGCAGTCCCCGCCTAAGGGTCAGCCCCCGTGGCCGGCCCTCCCCGAGCCGGCGCGGCTGCTCTGGTGTCTCCGAGCCCTCCATACATCCCCGTTCGACACAACAACAATGCAAAACAAAGGCGCGGGCGAGGACAATGCCGGCCGGCTCGGGGGCGCACAATGGGCTTGCAGGTCGTCGCGGGGAGGAGCTTGCCCTCGCGGGGGGTGCAGGAGGTGTGGGGGAGGGGGGGCGGGGGCGACGAGGGTCGGGCGCGGCTGGCGGAGTCCTTCCCGCTGCGGCCTTGTCGGAGGACTCGGCGGGGCAGGAGGGGGAGGCCGAAAGGACGGGGGCGGCGGGCGGGCGTATCATTGTTGCAGATAAGCGTGAGGTTTGCGGGCGGCCATCGTCGCGTCTCCGTGATTGGCCTCCGGAGGTCGTCATTACGCCCCAGGAGGTCGCAGCGTCTCCAAGAGGCTCAGTGGCCCCCTTTCGAGGCTAATGGCAGCGTAATGGGAGTATGTAAATGGGGAGAGGCTCTCGGGCCCCTTTGAAAAACGACGCGCCATTATGGCTGGAGGACACGGCGAAGGAGGAGGGCGGGAGCATGCAGGACCTTTTAGTTTATCGGCTCCTTCCTTTGTGCCTCGTGCAAGGATCCGGATGCTGGAGCAAGGGGGGGGGGGGGGTAGAGGCGAAGAGAGGGGGGGGGACGCTACTACACTTCGTCATATTCACCTTTTCCTGTATTGTGTCCTCATGCTGTCCATATTCGTCATGGGGAGCGAGGTCGTTACTATTTATAGATTTTCTTTGGTGTATGTTTGTATTTTTCTAGATCGCGTGTGCGTATAGATTTTTTAACATTTATATTAATATGATATATAGAGAGAATTCTTACAGCATCTTATTTACATATGATATCTTCTTAGTGATACCTAGAAAGTTCTCCCAGTCAGGTGACTCACCAAATAGAGCGATAAAAACCCATAAATCTCCTCTGGCGCGGGGCCATTGGGCTCAAAATCCGCTCTGAAAGGCCGCAGTCCCCGCCTAAGGGTCAGCCCCCGTGGCCGGCCCTCCCCGAGCCGGCGCGGCTGCTCTGGTGTCTCCGAGCCCTCCATACATCCCCGTTCGACACAACAACAATGCAAAACAAAGGCGCGGGCGAGGACAATGCCGGCCGGCTCGGGGGCGCACAATGGGCTTGCAGGTCGTCGCGGGGAGGAGCTTGCCCTCGCGGGGGGTGCAGGAGGTGTGGGGGAGGGGGGGCGGGGGCGACGAGGGTCGGGCGCGGCTGGCGGAGTCCTTCCCGCTGCGGCCTTGTCGGAGGACTCGGCGGGGCAGGAGGGGGAGGCCGAAAGGACGGGGGCGGCGGGCGGGCGTATCATTGTTGCAGATAAGCGTGAGGTTTGCGGGCGGCCATCGTCGCGTCTCCGTGATTGGCCTCCGGAGGTCGTCATTACGCCCCAGGAGGTCGCAGCGTCTCCAAGAGGCTCAGTGGCCCCCTTTCGAGGCTAATGGCAGCGTAATGGGAGTATGTAAATGGGGAGAGGCTCTCGGGCCCCTTTGAAAAACGACGCGCCATTATGGCTGGAGGACACGGCGAAGGAGGAGGGCGGGAGCATGCAGGGCCTTTTAGTTATCGGCTCCTTCCTTTGTGCCTCGTGCAAGGATCCGGATGCTGGAGCAAGGGGGGAGCAGGAGAGTTATGGGTACGTAATGCATCCTGCCGGCCCTCGGAGTCGTGTTTTTTCACCCAAGCATTATGACGCTGTCCGTCGACCCCGGAGAGCGACGCGAACAATTGCCGAAGGAGAGTGTGAAGCTCCGGCATTGTGAGCGAGGGACATGGGTCAGGTCCCGGCGCTGTTTCCCCGGGACGGCAGCGGCGAGGCCCTTTGTCGCGTTCGTTAGTGTGTTCCCATTTGGGATCCAGCATTCAGCCTCCCCCCCCCCCCCCAATCCGTGTTTCCTGCCTTGAATATCCAAAGCTTCTCTCTCTCTCTCTCTCTCTCTCTCTCTCTCTCTCTCTCTCTCTCTCTCTCTCTCTCTCTCTCTCTCTCTCCCTGTCTATCAATTTGTATGCAGATATTTTATATGGAATTCCATCTCACTCGCCCATTCCTCCGTTCGCGCTCCTGCCTTTCACCTGCCCCTTCTACCTTTCGAAGTCCCCGTATTGAAGTGGCATTAGCGATATTAGCTCCATGGCTGTCTTAAGGAAAAGGAATGTTTACCGACAGCTATAGTCCCTATTACAGACAGCACAAAGGCCATATTCCCTTAATGATGGCCAGCACTCCGTTTCTTGAAAGGAAGCCCTAGGTCTTGGGCTAAGGGTCCGTTGGGGCGTCTTTGGCGTGGCAGCCCCTCGGGAGAATATCAATCGGGATTAAGGAGGATGATCCTGCCTCGTGGAAATTTAGATTGTCAGCAAAGCTAGGCCCGAGGACTGCCTACAATTATTCCCGCCGCCCAGATTTAGATGTAGGAGGCGATAGAGGCCGCCCAGTGTTCGCTGATTTAGATTAAACTCCCGATAAATATGGTAATAGGGCTTCTGGTCGCAGCGGGCGGGGGCTATCGGAGCCCGAGGATCTTATCGGCCCGAAGTGTGTTGTGTGGCGGACATTATCCGAGGCCTGGGAACGGCTTTATCTTCACTGTGAATGGCTTATTTTGAACTGTGCCCTTAAGCTCTCTGTTTCAAGACTAACCTCCGTTTTTCCTCCCGCAGAGCCCGAGTTCGTGCAGGTGGAGCCCTCGGCCGTGGCGGTGGCGTCCATCGTGGCCGCCGTGCGGGGCCTCAACGTCGCCGAGTGGGCGGCCATCCTGTCCAGCCTGGCGTCCGCCGTCAACCTGGACGCCCACGCCCTCCAGCCCATCGTCGAGCAAATCGAGATGGTCGTCGAGAAGGAGACGGCGATCCTCCCGGAGAGCATGCACGTGCAGCAGCAAGCACAGCAGGCACAGCAGCAGCAGCAGCAGCAGCACCCCACCACGCCCACGAACAAGCAGCACCCCACCTCGCCCATGGAGTTTTTTGACGGCAACGAAACTCCGACCGACCTGACGGACATCCACTTCTGATGCCGGAAGCGTCAGTAGGGCGTTGCATGTCGGACGCAGCGGCCTCGCGGGGCGCTACTGCGGGGTTTTAGACGTAGAAGTCGTAACGGACGCGCTGCAGAGGAGACGCGGCCGGCGCAGGTCGAGCCCTCACATCCTCCTCACTGCGCCTCAGGTATTCGAGGATCAGACGAAGTCCCTCCGACCTCCGTGCGGGGCTCGCGGAGGGACGCTAATGTAGATCCTCAAAATGAAGAAAAAATGTTTTCTTTTTCAAGTGAAGCTGTAGCCTAACCAAAGACATTTCAAGGAGGAAGTGAAGTGGCCGCGACTCCCGATGGCCTCTGCAAACGGGTGGAAGTCCAAAGGCCCCCTCGGCAAGGGGCGCTGGAAGACACGCCGCCGAGACCCGAGGGGGAAGCGAGCAAGAGGACCATCGCGGGCGTCGCCGGCGCGTCCCAACGCAGCGCGATCTGGCTCATACCAAATGGTGTAGATCTCAGTCATTTTTCTGTATCCAGTCAAAGTCAGGGGCGGGGGACCTTGGGGAACAACGGCCTCTCCCTCGCGAGTTGCAGGCTGCCTTGGGCCTTTGCTGCTTCTCACGGGTGCTCCCAAAAATATATAAAAAAGTACAACAAAATTGCATCTTTGAGATTCAGTTCAGCGCCAGTGAGCCTCGACTCGGGAAGGAAGGAGCGCCTTGAAGTAACTAAACCACAGGAGAAGCAGGACCATCAGTCGAAGACGCTGATGGAGGGTCGAGAGCAGGGAAGGGGAGGAGCATAAAGGCGCGGCGACGACCCGACGACGAGCCTCCTGCTCCCTCCATCCTTCTCGTGCCTTACACCCTCCTGCCGAGCCTTTAGGTGTACAGTAGATTAAGTAGTGCCTTAAGATACAAGCCCGTCTGGAAACCTGTCGTGTTGCAGGCGAGAAGTTGCCACGTCGCATCGCTCTCGGCGATGTCAACGGGAGCCGGTTGATCGCAACGAGTTCGCGAAGAACATCGGAAAACAAAGAATCGCTCTCGTCCCCAGCTGGACTCGAGTTCCCGCAGGAAGGGAGAGCAGCCGCCTTCAAGCTGTACGCGCAACCCCCCCTTTTTCCTTCACAAAACATGTTCGAACACGACATAACGTGTCAGTATTATTTAAGTCATAATCAAATATATGTTAATGGAAACGTCAGAACCACGGTGCTCTTATATTTTTGGATTCTCAACAAGACGAGGAGGACTCTAGCGGATTCGGGCATTAGCTTGGGGAAGATCTCAGTCCAGTGTTTGTGGATGCTGTTCTGAAGATAACAAACGAACAAATTCCATGATCTCGTAGGTTGTATGAGAAAACCATGCGCAAATAACATTGTTCTCTCTTGTATAAATCATATTATGTATATATTGTGTATACTTGTTAATATTGCTACTTATAGGCTGTTTTATAATATATATTTTGAAGTATGTAACGTGGATTCCAGTGTCGCTTCGTTTATCAGATGTTTACCCCTTTTTCCCTCGAGTATCAGAAAGCAGTTTTGATGCCTGAATATATTATATTTGTAATCTTTCATTCCTACGTTTATTTGCATCCTATTTGCGTTCTTGTGAATCTAATTGCCTTTTATTTCGGTTTGGTAACGTGTTTTTTCGAGTGTTTGTCAACCTCTTTACCTGAATAAGTGCCTTTTGCCAAAAGTCGGAAGCTCTGTCTAGAATGTATTCACTTCCGTCGTTTGTAGAGGAGTGTAAACGATCAACTTGTCGGATCTACTATTTTTCCATTTTTTCTGTACGGAATATTTGTGCCTTATAAAAATTCCATGAGGTGATAAAAAATATAATTTGAAGAATTGTGATGTCTTAAAAAATTGATTGTCACTGTTTAGTTAATGTATAGAGTAATATTATATTTGATATAAAAATCTCCATATTCTGCACACACGCAGACAGGAAAGGAAAGAGTTATCGATATAATTTTTAAGCAATTGTGAATGGTGAATAGATGCATGTTTGTCAAGCTCGTGAGAGTAAAAGTGATGCTTGGATGAGTAAAATATTTTTAGAAAATCTTCAAAAATATAATCCTAGGATAAATTGTAATTACTATTATCATTTATTTTATTTTTTTTATTTTTTCGTTTCACTTTTTTTTCGTTTTCTACAAAGCACAAAAATACCCGTCCGTGGGTTATTTTTTCTCCTACGTTCCTTTAGTGATTAATATTAGATGCTATTATCATTATTATTCATCTTATTGATATTATATATATTTTTTTCTATTCTTATTCTTATTATTTATGTCTTTGAATGTAGTATGGCGTGTGTGATGACCTGGCCTCAGGTATTCTCTAGTCGCGACCTTCCTTGGGGTATGGGAGGGGGGGGCAAGGGGGAGGGAAATGTTCAGCCATGGCGAATACAGTCTTTTTTTATTTATTAGTTTGATCACTGACCTTTTTTCGTCTCTTTTGTCTATGTATGAATATTTCCCCTTTTTTTCTTTTTTTATCTCCAGAGGCGAAGTCAGTTTCGAGTTTCATCCCCACTCCCGTTTTCTTTCACACGTGGAAGTCTGTGTATTTATTTAAGTTTCCCCATATTTATTTTTTTCTTGCTCTTCTAACCAGATTCCCCGCCCCCCCTCCCACCCCCCTCTCTGCTGCCACACGATACACATAATTTATGCATTTCACAAACACAAATATAAATACGTTTTTATATGTTATTTTTTTCTGATCAAAGTCTGGCTGTCCATGTCGACTCCGCCCGTTTATAAGAAAGGTTGTTCTAATACCTCGTTTTCTCTAAATGATTTTTTTTTTAAACTTCATCTTTTCCCTTTTTTTAACGAAGCGTTGTGTGTTGTGTACAAAATTTTCACACATGCTTTGCGTACGTAGTGTTCTGTAAGATAGACACGAAGGTTATGCCTCTAGTTTCTTACGTTGAAACTGTATTGTATTTATTTTATTGGCTCTCCTTATCATCGATTAGTATTACTGCCGCAGTTTTCTTTATTATTATTTCTTTTAAATTCTGTGATTGATATTACTATCATTGAATATTATGATTTTTTTTTTATTATTCCTATCATTTACTATGGTATTATATATTTTTTATCAGTTTTCGTTATCTTCCTCTGGTATTTTCGTATGATAACAAGATGGTATTATTTATATTTATGTATATTTTTATTGTTTTAGTTATACCTATTTTGTGACCTATTTTTTCGTTTTAATACACGCTATAAATATATATTGTGACGTCATTAATACAATGGAAACCATAATTGTCTCATTTATAATTTTGTACTTTTGTGAAAAAATTACCCCCTGAAAGCTTTGTAATTATTTTTATTTTAAGCTGAGTTTTTGAATAAAATGAAATACCATAAA